GAGATGCAGTTTCAGATTGTCGTTTGCCAATGCTGTCAGTGCGCAGAGCACAAAGGCCAGACGCGGAAGAATGCAAAAGTAGTCCGAGTGCCTGTCACCCGATCAGGGCAGGAAGGCACCTGCGAATCGAAGCAGCACACCAGGCTTCTCACAGTGCACTTGCCCAGTGCACTACAATGCTTGAAAGAGGGAGCCTTTTTTTCGATGCTGAAATGTGCTCCACACAGTCACTGCCCCGAAGTGCATCGACTTCGGCTGCTGGGCTTTCAAGGAGTGCCATGCGTTGAGCTGGGTTGGAGACGGGACCAAAGAAGCAATCAATTAGCACCGCATGCGAGGCTCAATGTCCGACCATTTGAGAAATGTCGCACCTTGCGAACAATTGGTCTGGACAGGACTGAATATAACCCACACAGGACTGAATATAACCCACGAGACCCGCAAGGCTGCTTCCCAGGGGCAGGGCTGGAAACGAATGACTTCTGCTGGATCGGGCCAGCAGCTTTTGAGACATCTCCCGCAGATTGCAGACAGTGGACATCTCCCGCACCGGCATTCAGGAAATCGTAGGAAGCGCCTTTGCAGGCTGCAGCCAACTGCAGTGCATCAAATTGTCTCACACGCTGAGGCGCATTGGCAGAGAAGCCTTCAGGAAGTGTAGCTCATTAGAAGTCCTCCACACTCCACAAGCGAGCTTTTGCTGACTGTACACAGCTCTGCAGACTCGTCCGGATGGGCAAGAAAGGCGAGAAAGGAACTTGGAGGGGGACCTATGTAGAGCGCAACACCTTTGAAATGTGTGCCAAATTAACACTCCCGTCGTGGATTCGATCTCTTCCCAAGCCAGATGCAGGGAAAGAAGAGTGGGAAGAATTCATGATCAGTTGTGCAGAGGCCACTCTGAGTGATACGACACGTTCGTAAATAGCATGTAATGACCTGGCAATAGTACCACAGGCCAAAGGGCAGATTTGCAGAAGGTCTATGCCTTTCGGCTTCCGACCCTCCTACCGGCCCTGCCCGCGCCACTGAGTAGATAGCCAGCTCCCCTGGCTGCCTTCCAAGAGGTGGTCAGGGATGGTACAGTGTACAGAAGACCAGCACTAGGAATAGCGACGTTTCACCCTGGTGTTTCACCTAGTTCATGGGGCTTGCATGACTGACCGAACTCTGAAGCACTCAAACACTGAGGGAGAGTGACCCAGGGCCAATGCGGCACCTCCTTGGGCACAACTCGACACCACGCTTGCTTTTTTGTCCCTGTGCAACGGTCACATAGGTAAGCTGTCTGAGACGGACGGTCCCTGGAGACCAGGTTGGCTCAGTGCCTTTTTCGTTCTTTGGCGCTCCTGGTCTCTCGTGCTCCTGCCTCCCCCGCTGGGGGAGGCGGTTTCCTGATTGCTGATGCACTGACCCTCACGTGTCTCCGCTTGTCTGGCACGTTGCTGCGGAGACTTCCGTTTTCCAATGTCCTGGATGCAGTTGCAGCACGTGCAAGATCAAGTGTAGCCAAGTGGAATGATTGTAAGAGCACAAGTTGAGGCCAGTTACCAATCCTGTACTCCCACCACCATTCGCTAGGCCAAAGCTCATGCTCCAGTTAGCTGAGAGGCTCTCACGCCCCTTGTATATCCTCCCTAGCCTGCGGCCGACACCCCAAGTGCGCTAGTAACGAGACTAGACACGAGCATGCTGAATTTTTGCTCCGCAGGGGTGAAGTGCTACTGCCACGGTTTGTGTCACCATAAGACTCCCTAGGCCATTGCGCGCACGCATTCTTTGATACAAGTTGTGCAGTGCCTTGCTTTACATGGACCTAGCCGAACCGAATTTGCACCTCACTCTCGCCTTCAGTCTGCTCAGGCATACACACACGCAGTGCACCGTTGGAGGAATACATACCTGCCTAAACGCAGATTGCATCGGAATGCAGTTTCGCCCTGAACGTCCGGTACTGAGAGCGGCTGGAAATGAATTCATCGCCCCGTTTCACCACTGTGTTGGTCCTCGGATCCGCACCTTTTGCTCTTTTAGACTCGTACGGACTTGAGCCTGGCCCTTTTGTTCTGTTTGCGGTTTGTTGTTTTGTTGGGGTGGGTTTTGGGCTTTTGTTTGGTTTGGTTCCTTTGTTCTCTTTGGCCAGGCTCATATCCTCACTGTCCTCTTGCGAATTCGACACGGTGACTTGTGCCTCTCGGCACACATAGCGCCCCTACCCGTGCAAAAAAAAACCAGGGCGCAGGCACACGGTTGCCCGAGCGGGTAGCACCGCCGGGTGACCGCCCCTAGCCTTTGGGCTTGAGCCTGAGCTACCGCAGCCCTTTTTCAGTTTCGAGAAAAGAGCCCAACTTCGCCTGCGCGGTTCTTCCGCGCTTTCGCACTTCAGCCCAGCGATAAGCCCCCCTTAAGCCCCCCCCACAAGCCGCCCCCTGAGTCCCCCCTTAAGCCCCCCCCTTTAAGCCACCCCTTTGGCCTCCAAGCCCCATGAAGCCTCCTTTCCACGGACTCCACCTTTTTCCACCACTCAAATTCTTCTACCAGCACCGAAGAAGCCAACGCCATTGTCTGGGAAGATCGATCCATTTCGTTAATGGTGAGAAGAGTGAACTCAGCTCTGATCAAGAATGGCGTTTGGCATTCCCTCTTCCTGCACGATTTCTGGAAGGGCGCCGTTCATCGAGATCTGAAGTGCAAACAGCAACGAATCAGCCTGAGAGTGCAGTGGACACCTCAAATTTTTGCACGACCATTGTTTCAGAAGCAGAAGTCTGCCTAGAAATTCTGAGTTTGTCCATTCAAGTGCAGACAAGAAGAAATCACAGCAGTGAAGACAATTTTTCTTTCTCCGGGGTTTCAAAAACCTTTTTGACGTTGGAAGTTTTTTGAGGTTTCAAAAAAGATTCGTTTTGGGAAAATTCAAGACCCGTGGCTTGCAACCCAATGTTTTTACAGAAGCTGAAAGTGGCATCGGGAAACATTTTTTTGACGCATCCAAGCAATTGTAATTGTCATTCTTGCTGATTTGAAAACCATTCTGGCCCGTTTGCAGGCATCAATGTGTGTGATCTTTGCAGGTGACTTCGGGCAGTTGCCGCCAGTGGGAACAGGTTGCTGGCAGGCATTCTTGATCTTCGAGAAAGTGGACGCCATGGTCGAATGTAGCCGCTTTGTTCTGGGATGTGGATGTGAGCTGGGCAGCATTTTTTGACATTTTTTTTTTTTTGTTTTTTTGTTCGTTCCTTTCTTTCTCATGCTTGTTTCATCACATTTTTTCTTTTTTGCTCAGATCTCCATGGTGGAGTGCTGGAAGAAAAAAGTCTTGCCAGCGCCGTTGTTTTGCATTTTGTTGTGCATTGTGCTTGAGTGGTCACTGCGGAGTGTTTGCGTTGTTGTGAAAGTGTTGTTTCATTCATGAAAGGTTGCAGGTTGACTTGGGCTGGTTGTGTTGAGTCTTCTTCACGCATCTGGAGCTACTCCCAGCTAGAGTCAGCTGGAGAATTCCTGAAAGTTGTTGGATGTGGCTGGCCAAAACCTCCAGGCAGAACAAACCTGTTGGAAAACGCATCTGTGCACATCCAACCCTAGCTCATGTCGATGACTGCAATTTTATGCTGCTGTGTTTTGACCTCAGGTTTCCAAGTTGTATCCGATTTCGTTCCTCGGTTGATGGTGCAGGTGATCTTTGATCTCTGTTAGTCTTGTTCATGCGTTCATGCGTTTTCATGAACCCTGTAGGACCATGTGCCATGCGAGTTAAAACTTGAGCTGGCCAACTGCGGAGCTCCGCTACCATGCAATAGTACAGTACATTGTTGTGCAGGTGTTGACTGCAAACTCCGGCGTTCATTGGTTGTGTTTGTTTTGTTGGTTGGCTGGTTGGTACTTCGCTTTTGACATGAGCCGCTCACGTTCTCTCTCCCTCTCTTTTCTCTTTTTCCCTTTCTGTTTCTCATCCTTTTCTTTTATTTCCATTCCGTTTTCTTTCTTTTTCCTTTAAACATTTCTCTTCCATTCCGTTTTCTTTCTTTTTCCTTTCAAAACTTCTCTCCGTTTCCTTTCCTTTCCCTTCTTTTGGTTTTTGTTTTTGTCTATGTTGCTTGCTTGCTCGCTTGCTCGCTCGCTTGCTTGCGTGCTTGCGGCCTGCCTGCCCGCCTGCCCACCTGCCGGCCTGCCTGCCTGTTTTTTCTTCTTGTTTTTTTTTCTTTGTTACTTTATTTTGTGTTCTTCCTTTCGGGGCTCAAATATATAGTTGCTTCTTTCGGGGTACGTTCTTATCTTGAAGAATCTTTGTTTGTGTATTTGAGCAGGGTCAGCACATTTTACTGCTTTGAGGTTGGACCCCACAAATAATGTATATATATATATATATGTATATATATATATATTATATGCATGCTGTTACACACTCAACACATCTTACAGTTTCAACACCTATACATTTTTTGTAGCTCATAAAATGAGCAGCCATGTTTTTTCATTCACTCATCACCAATCCCAATTTCTGTGAGATATTGCGCGGACATTTGGAAGTGAGATGGTGGTTTCTAACTTTCGGTTCAGAAAGACCGAATGCTTGGGAAAGCCCCCAGCGTTGGTTTAGCCATAGGAGACCATAAATATTTTGGCGATATTGGAGAGTGGGGATACTCCCCCATACACCACCAGTGAATTGAAGCTCTTTTGACTGAACTGTAGACTGTAAACTGTACTTAGCTGAATTACAATTCCAGTTAAGTCCCAGCACTTCTCAAACTGGTTGCGTTGAAGATGTTGACGTTGGGGTGTGCTATAAGATGCCTGGAAGGTGAAATGCAGTCGGAAGCATTGACATTGAGACTTCCAAATCTCTAACTGTTCAGGATAGTCGTTGTGAGAGCTTCCAAACACAAAAAATGTTCTTCTCAAAGCACAAAACTTCACGGCACGTCCCAACCAACACAGCTCATTTCGGCTCAGCCTGTTCCAACCTTTGGCCCTCGCTGTGGAGACCAACGATGACCATGGCGCAGCCTGGCTGGAGGCGAATAGGCCCAAGATCGGGTCAAGTGAGCATGTTGTCATGTTCGTGGGCCCCAATCCGTAAGTGGATATCTTACATGTTGTCGTGTTTTCATGTTGTCACTCCGTATTTGGTTTATGGTTTGTGGTCATCTTCCACCATGAACCAAATTGGGCAACAGCTCTTGTGACCACGCAACAGCTCTGGCAAATTGTTCTCTGCTGAGGTTTTGGTGGCACCTCACCCATGTTTTGGTGCCTCTAGTGGCTGCCACTGGTGAGACGTGGCACATGGTTGACCTCGCGGCAGTGGTCTGTCCCAAGCCCACCAACCTCAAAGCGGGCGCAGAGACCTTGCCAGAGTACAACGTCGGCATTGACATGAGCGTTCCTTGGTTTCCAATGGTTTGCCGATGGTTGGCCCAGACACTCCCTTTTCACAGCCGCCCAGACGTCGTTCCCCCCCAAACCGAATCGGCGCCGGAGGACCGATCGGTCCGGTGGTCCGACGGGGTCGTGTCTCCACTGCAGGGGCTGAGCAAGGACAAGCCTCACATTGCTGCTTGTCTACATCAGCCCTTTTGTTTCAGCTAGTAGCCTTAGAGTCCTGAGAGCTATGCCGGCAAGACGAGTATGTATTTCTGGTTTTCATTATTTTTTTTTTTTTCTAACATACATATTGACACACTCACAATGTGGTGTCGCCGTGTCGCTTCTTCCATCAAAAGAGCCATGTGAGCTTCGTCCGCCGTTTCGCCAGGTGAGTTTCGTCCGCGCCAGCGATCAAGCGACGACGATCACGTTCAAGATCGAAGATGCCAACGGATTGAATGTAGCATCGAGGTTGCACTTCTTTTTTACCGGGTGTTGGGACAATTACACAGGTTGAAGGTATTGGGATCTGAATGCTCTCGCACTGCACCAAGCAGATATGGAATCTTGCCTATGTTTCTTGTGTGGCCACGCCTCAATTCTTGCCAAGGTGCCAGAAACTACAGTTACCCTTCAAGCGGTAAGCAGCAGTGTGCCCTCGGCTTGCCAGTGCAACGTGGCTAGCAGCTGTGTGCATTTGTTTTTGTTGTTTCCGTTTGCCCAATCTTTTCACATAGTTTTGTCAACATATTCTTGGATGCTTTTGCTATTTGTACATGCATGACACTAGCGGACTTTTGAGCTAATTCAGACTGAAACCTCACCAGGAATCATTATATACTACTACTATCTACTACTATCTACTACTACTACTACTACTACGACTACTACGACTACGACTACAACTACGACTACGACTACGACTAGGACTAGGACTACGACTACGACTACGACTACGACCGCTACGACCGCTACTACCGCTACTACCACTACCACCACTACCACCACTACCACCACTACTACCACTACTACGACGACTACGACGACTACGACGACGACGACGACGACGACTACTACTACTACTACTAGCACTATCACTATCGTATATGCCAGTATTGATAATTCCTTCAGGACATTGACAAGAGCTGTCGGATTCAATGCAGGTAGAGTCTCTCACATAAACACACTACACCTCATGAAACTTTGCATACATCATATTCATATACATTGTAAGCATCAGCATCACCTCATCCTTTGCACACTTTCCCCGTACAAACTTGCCCTCACTTCACCACAAGAATAATGGGCTCCTGTTTCCGTTTGGTGTCTCTTGTGCTCATCCCTGTTACTGTTGATATGCGGTGCATCAAATGTCGGCGAGGACACATGTTGGTTTGCACAACCTGGATGATTGATGATGTGCGGGATGTATCAAGCACTACTGTTTTGTTTTGGCTTTTGGCGAAGACTGACACTGAGGCACCAATCCATCCATCCCCACAGCCGTAACCAGCACCTATGGAGCTGGCTATGGATCATCCTGCGCTGCATGGGATGAGCAACTTGGAGAGCAAGTTGCAAGCGCAACCTGTCACACACACAGAAGAGGAGATGGTGAGGGAAGTCTAAGACGGTAGAAGACGGCAGAAGAGGAGACAGTGAGGAGGCGCACTCTAGAAAATAGCGATGGCCTCCAACCTAGTAGCGATGGCCTCCAACCTAGGAGAAGTAGTAAGTAGACATCACAAGTGGAGGGATTGAAAGGCAATCGATTGGGAGAAGGAGTTTCACCTGTCACTGTGTCAGTTGATCGGACGTTCGCAGTTAGGCCTCAAAAGAGGGATGCTTTTTCGGTTGGCTTGGTCGGTTTAATGTGGGCGTCCATTGTTTGCTGAATGAAAGAGCCTGCTTGGTGCCAAGGCTGACAGATTGATCATGGTTGATGGTGCATGTGGCCGTCAAGCACAAATGAAGTAGTGGAAAAGGTACATCGAAGACCCGGAAGTCATCACCCGATGTTTGGGTTCAATCACCCGATGTTTGGTCACCCGGATCCTTATTGAAGGTCCTTATGGTACATCCGATTCCTGCACCCATGTGTTTTCCTTCTATCACGAATGTAATATAAGAAGCCGCCGTATTCGTGCACCAACCGACATCGGCCGTGAAAACAGAGCGAAAGACACCGCGTTCGGTCCTATGGGTCCGCTTCGCCTTCGACTCCGTCGACTCATGGAGGCCCAAGTGTGGAGACCTTTGGGGCAACTTGACCGTGGGCGCTTGGTGCTGCCGACCTTGGTGCTATGCATCGAAAGAATGTCCAGATGCATATTCAAGTCAAGCGATTCCGGGGCAGTTTTTTAGTGCCTCAGCGAAGTTGAAGTTTACTGTATTTCAAAACACGTGGCAAGAGGGCGGAACGAAACCAAGAGGGTGGAACGTGGTATAGCGTTGTCTTTATCACCATGTGAACCGGCTATTGCCATGGACGATTGAGAAGTTGTGCATTAAAAATCCTTTTCTAGGGAGACTTTCTTGACACAAAGTGAGACTTGTCTGCCAATTCTTTCAAAGATGAGTCCCGAGTGGTAAGATGTGGTGGCTGTTTCGTTGGTGGACTGTTGCTGGAATCGTTGGTGGAAATTGCCTGCACCTTTCAGGTTGAAAAGAGATGCAATCTTAGAGTTCAACATGTCATTCCCTCGGATGCCCTTCAGTGCCTCCTCGTTCTCGTTCGTCTCCTTTTCACCGACACGACAGCCGTTTTCAGCTGGGGACCACACCAGCGGACACAGCTTGGTTGCGGGGTCCAGGTCCAGGTATGAACGATCAGGATCAGGTATGGTCCAGGTCCGTGTTTCGTTCCAAGCGTTCCAACTCCTCGGGCCACAGGGGTGGATGACACTGCCATGCTGCCGCATCAGCTGCCCAGATCGGATCCGACATGCGGCCGTTTTTCTCCTGTTTCTACTTTTCTTGAAGATGTTGCTGTTGGTTTTGTTGAAACTCTTCCATGCTAAGACCTCAAGCTGCCCATCAAAAAGTGTGTTCTCATCCGTCGACCTTCGATCGAGAAAAAGGCCTGCGTGGTGTAGCGCACAAGGTAGTGCGTGCGAGCGTGCGGACTGGAGGGGTCAATGCAGACTGGTCGTAGGCCGTTTGTTGCCATTGCGGGGTCAATGCAGACTGGTTGGAGCAATATGGAATGAAACTCAAAGTGTGAAACTGTGGTGAAGCACATACAAACGCAAGTACTTTTCCTGCTGGAAGGGGGAGTGTACACATACACACATGCAAACACTTCAAGATTTGCCCGGTGTTTGGTTTGATCATGTTCAAAGGACAGCTGCTGTCATGCATCACTCGTATCTCAAAACATGTCCTTGTTTCTTCACATATTCTCGTGTCCTTTCGAGAACCGCAGATCCGCGGTTCTGCCGAGGTTATGCTGCGTGCAACGCAGTCGCCAGCTCAACACCAGCACCATTAGAATCGACGTGTAAGTGGGTAGGAGTGAAGAAGGCGAATGATCCATGCGCGTGCAGGAATGTGGGTTCTCTCTTCAACGCTGCCATGAGAAACAAATTCAGCAGCAACTATGGCGAGATGTGTGGAGCTTGGGATATGCCTAATTGTGCCACCAATTATCGACCAGACCAGGTGGACACCTGGTGCTGCTCCAATTGGTGCTATGTTGACAAAGAGTGCCCAACTGCCAAAGACTCTTTGAATGATGGCATGAATGGCACCTTGTACTGGTCAGGCAATGTGTGCCCAGATGATTCAGCTCTCATGTTGCAGTGCCCCTATTTCCCGCAGAAGAATGTGTCGAATACCACCGAATCGAATTGTACATGCTTGGGTCAAACGGTACCAGAAGAGTACCTGAACTTGACAGCAATGGGTCTCAACACGACAACCTACGCACAATATGGTGCGTTCTGCGGACCCCATGATTACCAAGAGTGTCACATTCTATATCCGGGGGCTGATATGGCAATGTGGTGCTGCTTATCCTGGTGCTACGTACCTGAGAGTTGTGTCACAGGCCGCGGTTCCACTATTTGGCCGGGGCACTACTTCTCCTACGACCAGTGTGAAATGAATCCGGATGTGGTGTCGAAGTGTAAATATGACAATGCATGTGACTGCCGCGGAGTTTTGCCCAGCGGCAGCTTCAACAATATCGACAGCGGTGCAACGATCCCCGCCAACTACGGCAGCCAATGTGATGCCTGGGACAACAAGAATTGCAAAGAAATGTGGATTCAAAATCCCAATGCTGGTTGGAACACCACCGATGACAAGGTATCTTGACACATGAAACATGTCTAAAAGCCTGTGGACAATGCAGTACACTTAAGATATATGTTACATAAGATATATACATAGTTAGTCTGGCCTCCCAACATCACGGTGAAGGAAGGTGAGACAACCCCTTGACTAGAGTGCTTTCTTTGTGCGCATTATTTTGGTGACTTTGCGGGGCTGACGAAACATAGAAACCAGGACCACTTTATTGATCGCTGAACCATAACTTTGCCACATCAGACATTTGTTTCACCATTTTCAAAGCCTGCACCATGCGAACAAGGGACAGAGCAGTTCTTTTTCAGGGTTGCTGGTGTACATTTTTTGATGCCCACGGTTTGCAGGAATGGTGCTGTGACTCGTGGTGCTATGTCAACAACAGCTGCCCCATTGCAAAGCAGTCGTGGTTTGGGATTGATTTCAAGTACAGCTACCAGACGTGCAGCTCGTCGAGACACTTTTGCGCACGAGACAAGACGTGCCATTGGCAAACCGACCAGAAACTCTAATGAACGGGACCTCGTTGGACCTCGTTCTGAGAACAAACTGAATGAACGGGTCAACCAGTTTGCCCCGTTTTGGTGTCGCTGAGGTGACGATAATCCCGACTGGACATATCAGGCGTCCGGTGATACCTGTGGGGCACATCGTCGCCGCAGCAGCAACTTCCGTGAACTGGGAGGCAGGGAGAGATGTTGGGGTTTGTCGCTGCGGCATGGAATAGTGACAGACGAGGTGAAGCTGCAATTCTCAGGGCTTGCACAAGGAAGATGTGTTCCGCCAAAGGCAGATTTGTAAGCGCTGTGAATGTGCTTGTGAATGCAGGCAGCCACCCAAAGTCAAGGCTGTTTCCAGGCGAAGAGCCTGCAAGCCTGCGCGTCCTCTCTCTTCACGGGGCGGCCCAAGGCTTGAATCACATGACCCCCAAACACTCCGTCATGGGCGATGGCATATATATATATATTATACTTGTATGATATTATCATGCATTCACATCCATGGAAACCCCTGAGAAATGCATCACCCCGGTATTACCCGTCACATCGGTATTTTTATCACGTTTCGCACCTGAAGAAAAGGTCGTGGAAATCAATAGAGGCGATGGATTCAGTTTAGCTGGAGGGTGTTTTCTTGACACCGGGGACAAGAAGCTACTAGGAACAAGTGCATCGCTTCTAGTAACAAGTGCCTTACTAGTAGTAACAAGAAGCTACTAGGAACAAGTGCATCGCTTCTAGAAACAAGTGCCCTACTAGTAGTAACAAGAAGCTACTAGGAACAAGCGTATCGCTTCTAGTAACAAGTGCCTTACTAGTATATAGTAACAAGAAGCTACTAGGAACAAGTGCATCGCTTCTAGAAACAAGTGCCTTACTATAGTAGTAACAAGAAGCTACTAGGAACAAGCGCATCGCTTCTAGAAACAAGTGCCTTACTAGTAGTAACAAGAAGCTACTAGGAACAAGCGC